TGCTGGTAAATCAGCATCCAATTTAAATGTATTGGGAATACATGGACAGATATTCTTTTGTCTTATGCTGTGGAACAGAGTTTTCATATTGTCAAACACTTGATAAAATTATAAACATAAGGCATTCCCTTTCTTCTCTTCTACATTTATAGAAATCTATAAACATACTTTCTACTTGCTCTAAGATGGAATAGCTATCCTCTTTTTGACTTAGCTCAATAAAAATATCTAAATATCCTTGACACTATATGTGAAACATAAGAAGACTAAGAGGCGGAGAGAAGACAGGCTGTCTAAGAACTTGGACATGAAAAACCCTGTGGTAGTGAGCTCATTGTGTTCTACTTTTGAATCATATTCTAGTCCTGGAACTGAATATAAGCTTGCAACTTTAGAAATGCCCATTTATACAGAAAAATGGTAACAGCAGAAAGAACGACTGCTATATCTGCTTTTTTTTTAGCCAAGAGACCATTAAAGATTCTACCTAGTAAGGCAGAAAATATTATATTAGCAACTGATGTACTATAGAAAAATACCTGTAAAATCTGTGACCGATCTCTTCTTACACTAGCAAAGGCCACGTAAGTTGCTGGATTTCTACCCATACCTGGCAGTAATAAGTGCTGCCCTCTCCTCCCTCCTCACCCTTTGTTGGAGAATAGTGTCAGAAGTCTGTAAGAGAACTTTCATAGAACTTTCATCATCATTAGGGGTAATGAGGTCACCCCACCCGGCTGACAGTGGAGACTACCTAGGAACTGGAGTCCCCTTGCCTGTTGAGAAGTAGAAAAATCATGATACTACCTCATAGTGTGGCACCAGGATGTCTACGTTTTCGTCCTACCCACAAGGCAGCCCTTCTCAATAATGCCTGCCAAAGTGATGCCCTGTAAGACATTCACTAAGGTGAATGTCTATTTAAAAATACCTGCTGTAGAATTTAACCCCATTTTGCCCTTACGGAAAGGTACTTTCTACACAACTTTACTGTGTACATTATTTTCCAAAGTGTCACTTGGGTGTAAAGTGAAGATGACTTCATTTTGTTTAAAACATTATCAAGAATTCATTATATTGAAAATCACAACATCCAAGACACAACTGTCTTGGTATTTGAGTATCATATTGAACTTAGAAAACATTTCTATAAAGATAGATGTGAAATTTTATTTTAGATTTTTATTAAATAATGGACTCTTAATTTAACAGTCAAAAAGTATAACTAGAACTGAAATTAGTTATTGGACACAGAAAACTTAAAAATTAATGAAACCTCTCAGTGGGTTCATTAGAGGTTTCATTAATGCAATAATACCAGTTTGTTTTAGTTAATGGTGGAAAAATTCTCAGGTCACTGAAAGTATAATGACTGCTCATGTTGATGTTGATTTTTAAATATAAAATTAAAATTGTTAAATTTATATATTATGTTACAAAAATTGATGCCACAAATGTTTTTCTTTGATTGTAGGATTTGGTTTTACTAAGTTAAGCATTTTCACTTTTCTGGGCTTTAACTCCTATTCTGAAGTTTCAGAATTCTGATCTCTGTTGATATCATAGTATTATTAAAACTATATTATCAAGAGAACTAGCATGGACAATATATAAATTAGATAGTTAAATAGGTAATAGCTTTGCAAATTAATTTATAGAGTGCAATAATTGATTCTCTAAGTATCTAGGAAGGAAATATTTGATGCCACAAAAAGTAGAAAGTCTAATATTATTGTGATAGAATATGACTTTTTGTTTAAACATTTTTTCCTATTCTTACCCCAAACTTTTTTTCCTATTCTTACCTCATAAGAGTATGTTTATCCAAGAGGCAGACTATCCTACATCCTTTTCTTCCAATGACAAGACTTAGAACTTACCACTTTTGCCTGGGAATATATTAAAACCTTTGGACAAAGTTTCTAAAAGAATTTCAGAAGAAACATCAGTAATTGCAGTTTCTAGGAACATAAACAATATCTCTTTTGGAAGGGTTTGTGTCATTCAGGTAGTTCATGCCTTCCAAGAAATGATTAACACTTACAGGGTAACTGAAGGGAGAAAGGCTATAATCATGCTGTCTTTGCCCTGTCAACATTACTTATTGTTTCAGCTATGAGTACAACAGAACAGAAACAAAAATGAAATTATTGTCTGCTTTTTTTCATTTTCCTAATCACGAGGTCACCCAAGAGTATTCAATCAGAGAATGTTTTCCTCAGTAAATATGTAGGTAAAGCCACCATACAAGTTAATGTGGTATTTAAAAAACATAATCAATTAGTACATTTTATTATTATGTTAGAAATCTAATCTTTTTTATATTTTATCAATGCAAGTCAGATTTCAAATATATGTAGTTATATTTTATTATGAATTTATCATAACCTAAAATAGAATAATGAAATCTAATACTGATATTTACAGAAGAAAGTAAACCCATGAATAAATTTGTTAAGCCAAATATTAGAAGCTAACTAAAATTAAAAGAGTAAAATGCATTCTTAGAAATATTAACTGAGCAGTTTTCCTGAATTTTTCAACTGTTTCCTTGATTAGAAATAGGTTATGCACTTTATTATAAAAAATGAAGAATCTTGTAATAGTAGATAAATATTTTTCAAATCAAACAATCTCTCTGCATACTTTGTGAACAAAATAAGATTTTCAGATCAGAACAACACTATGAAATATCCCATTCTGAAGATTCACAGTGTACGGGAGCATATAAAAAGTTGTAGTGTAGTAAATATGCCTATAAAACTTTATTTAAACAACAGTTACAAAAATGTTCTTGACGACAGTTTAATTCCTAGAGATATTCAATAGAAGATAAGCTTTTCAGAGTCACTTCAGGAGAGCCATGGTAACTGCACTGTGTTTGTGGGTTCATAATACCTAGATTTATAAGCATTTCATCAAATTTTAACTTCTCCTTTTCCCAAAAGATACATTCTCAAATATACCAAATGTTAATCTCCACTAATTTTTAGAAATGCTTTGTGTGATCAAATTTTCTGTTGAGTGAAGATCTAATATTTGTTTTTATTTTCCAGATTTACTTTGCTGCAAACAATTCTCTTACATCTCCTTCATTTTATTAAAAATAGTTGTATTTTAATCTTTTCTTGTGACTGTATAATACCCTATGGTTTGTATGTAACATATATTCTAGATTTATTCGTTTGTTGAAGGGAATTTAGGTCATCTCTTGTCCTACTTATTGCAAGTATTGTGGCTTTGAATATTGTGGAACATACAGGCTTTTTGTTGGTAATTTCACACTCTGTGGCTATATGCCAAAGTGTGGGATTTCCCAGTCATATGGCATTTCCATTTTTTAAATTTTTTAAAAATTTTTTTTAAGTTAAATCCAGATTGCTTTCCATAAAGGTGTGCTCAGCTCACATTCCCACCAAACCTGTAATAGGGATCCTTTTTCTTCACAACCCTCTCTAACACCTGCAGTTGTGGGCCTTTCTTATATGCTCCATTCTCATTCTCTCTCTCTCTCACATACACATATATCAGAGATCGAGTTGTCCTAAAATATCTCTATGTAGTATGTACACATATTAATATATGTTGTGTATTAATGTATAGACTATACATGTTTGCAGTTATATTGATGTGTATATTATATATCTATATAATACAATACAATTACATGTATGCATTTATATACATATGAAAATATATGTGTGATTAAATTAAGTAGAATGCTTAATGGTATAGATAAGAATTAGTAAACTGTGGTATGCTGGTTGGTTATTTGCTTATATAAATAATATTTTACTAAAATATTGTAAAGACATCATTCATATATTTACCACTTCTGTTTTAGCACCAATAGGTTCTGTGGTTTTGAAAGCGACATTATACCTCATGAAACTTTAGATAGTTAATATTTATTCCATCAAGAAAAAAATGCTTTTAAAATTATTTATACATACAAGAATTGGGGTATAAGCCAGAGGTGTGGGGGGAGAAAGGATTCATCAGAGACAGAATGGGGAGCAGAACAGAAGGGTTTACTGAAATACACTGCTGAGGGAAACTATAGGGGAGACAGGAGAGGTCTGCTGTGCTATGTGGGCCAGCTACTTGGCTGGGGATTGAAATCACCCTCAGCTGTGATTGCATGATAATACTAGGACATAACTCCAATATTACCAGGGAGACCCCCAAGAAAAATAACTGCCTCACATCTCAGATCTTCCTCAATATAGCAGAAAAGAGAAGACACTGAGGATCCTTTGTCCTTTTGGCAAGCCATTGGGTATGGAGAGATTTCTCCAGTTGTCAAAATAAAACCTGACCCTCTTGATCCTGAGTTTTCCTAGTTATTAAGAACCGTTGTCCTCATAGGACAAGTGGAGAACACTGGAATTTGATCTTTATACAAGCCCTCAATATTTGCTCTAATTATTCTCCAGAGGCAAATTAAGGACTCTTCCACTAACATTTCACTTGGAGCTCAGATAAAAGAGAAGGAAAATGGGTCTGACTGAAAGGAATCCCATACTCTTCTAATCTGCTTAAGTTATTTTTCAGACATACTGAAGAAACAGGAGGAGACCCAGGGATCATTTCATTCTTTCCTAATGTTTACCTATCCTATAGCAAAGAGTCAATTTTATTCATATTTAAAAAAAATAATGAAGTACAGACAAATCACCCTAACAATTTTAGCTCAATTAATTTAATAAATAGGAGAAAATCAGTTATTGTTTCTCCAAAAGAGTTTACACAGTTGAGCTGTCTCCACGGTAAAAAATAAATGGACTTGAAGAAAATTTTTTAAAAAAATTATTCAGTTTCCTTTTTCACTAAGTAAATTAATCTTTTGGACTGATTCAAACAATTAAGTATTCTGAATTCCCTTGATTCAAACAATTAAGTATTCTGAATTCCCTTGAAATATGTATTTTTAGGCAAGCATAAAGCAATATTTTTTAAAATGTTGAATTCTATGATCAAGAAATTCTCAGTTCACTTACATGTCTCTGGGATCCGTCATATTCACACCTTTCAATTTTTCCTAGGCTGCCGTCTGAAAAATACAGCTTCTCTGCACGGTGGTCTATGGTGAGTCCATTGGGAGTGAGTATATCTGTACTGATCACCACATGAGCATTCTTTCCAGTCAGGGTAGATCTCATGATACTTGGATGTTGCTCATTCCAGTTGGTCCAGAACATTAAACTAAAATTAAATTATAGTAAAACATTAAAAAGTTTATTAATAGCATGACCATTTAAACACGTGGCAATACCAAGATATTTTTTAAAAAAATCAAAATTATGCATTTCATATTCTATGATCCTTAAGGAAGTTGAGCAAATAAAGGGAGATATGTGTATCACATTTGCATGCATATTTTTCTCAGTTCCTGAAAGGAAACTGAAAAACAATCATATCTGCACATTCTTTCAATAGTAATTGCATTGAATTGAGTCTGTCAGATGCATAGTGAGGGTTTCTTTTTATTTAAGGACAAAACAGTTATCTTAAATTTCTGTGAACTCCTATAAACTCTAAATTATTAACATCATGTCTCAGCAGACCCAGTACAATGCTTTTGGACATTGTTCTTAATATGACTACATTCCAATTTCTTGGTGAAAAAAAAAAAAAAACAACAACAATAAACAAAACAAAACTCCCTCCCCTTCCAGATCTGTTTTTAAAAGTCCATGTTCCTCTTTGTATATATTTTTAGAGAATATATAGTTACCACTTTCCAGACTTCTTTAAATTTTCCCCTCTTTTTCTCAATGGAATTTTCTATAAATCAGCGACATTTCTAGAATTCAAGGGGTTTACTCTCAAATCCTTCAATGTATCATATATTACCTATAGATTGCACAGAATACTGTAAATCAGCATTTGTTAAACTGTTCTTTGTGGAAAACCTGGTATTTTATGGAAGTCCTGAGAAGACCCTGGGAAGAAAGAGACATTTGAGTATCCAAATCCTACTTTTATTATTTTTACTGAAACAGTTACTAAACCTTTACCAACAGGACTGTCCCTAGGAGTTTATTTGAAGATAGTTGTACTTAAGATGGAAGGGGGGAAGGAAAGAGAAAAGAAAGTGAAGGAAGAAGGGAGAGAGGGAGAAAAGAAGGGAGAGAAGAAAGAAGAAAGAGAGGAAGGAAGGAGAAGAGAAAAAAGAAGGGAATGAGGTAAGAAGAGAAGGTAGTTGGCAGGAAGTTTCTTTAGTTTTGGAAAAGTCTATTGGCTAGCAATAAAACTATTTTAAATAATATTTAATATTTTCAAAAAGAATATATATCTTCCCATATATAATTATTTAATTTCTACATGTATTCACAGTCACTGAATATATGATTACATAATATTATAAAAAGGTACCACTAGGTAATATTCACGTTCACAACTAAAATCTTCCTTCTTGCTGCTTTGAAAAATAAATCCCACCGAAAGAAGAAACCTGCATCATCTATGTTGTTTGTTAAAACACTGCATAGTATTTTCATTTATGCTCTGAATAGAGAATAGTTTTAAGTGAGCAACTATCAAAAGTATATTTTCCTAGGAGTGAGTAAATTTGCAAAATAAAAAGCATCTCATTTTCTTAAGCATTTTGTAACTTTATTCAGTCATTTTGACATTTAAAATGAAAAAAATAATAATTTAGAACATATAATGTCTTGCAAATAATATGAGATAGGAAGTATACAATTTATCTGTATTGTTTTCCTATACTGTTTCTTTTTAAGTTCTAGAATTTCTGGCTTATTAGTGCTCTTTATACTTTACCTTTCACTTCACAGGTAAGAAAACACAAACACAGAGAGCTTAAATAATTGAAAATGAGTAATCAAACTAAATTTTGAACTCAAAAAGTCTACCTTCATTCATAATTAATTTTTAAATTTCTGTTAATTAACAAACCTATAATAGCACTTTGTTGATATGCACAAGGCTATCAACATATGTTGAATTTTAATTACATGTAATGTAATGATTTTAGTATTTTAATTTGTTTAATTCTAAATTACATTTGACCATATGTAAGATGATAATGTAATTTAACCTATGCAATGAATAATTATAGGCTTAGGCATTTGTCAATTAAAATCAACTGTATGTAATATCATCAGTGATCACCCTTATGTTATTCCACAGTTGCCTTAAGTCCCTTATTATAAAGACATTCTTTTGGTGAAGTGTCATCATCAATGTAGCTGATGCAATAACAAGCTGAACAATACAGGACAGTATATGATCAGAACAAGTTTTGTCCTGCATGTATGTGAAGACCTGCATAGATGTGAACTAATTCGGCACAGCAGTTCGAGATGGCACTGCTCTCTCAGCGTTCAGAGTCTACATATATAAAATGAAATGCCCAGTTGAATGTATAGTCTATTCTTAATTTCTAGCTCTAGAGGAGCATCTTTATAATTATTTGTACATTGAGTATTTAATAAATCCTTTCTCCCTTCAAATAGTCAGTGGTTATCCATCATTGCTTATCAGATTGTAGATATAGACTTATTTCAATTCTAGCTTTTTTCAGTTACCATATAAATTCCTTTATATCATTTCTTAAAACATGACAGTTGTCTGACTTGCTATGTTTTTTATTCACTCCAGTGTATGGCCTCAGAATTTTTTTCTTATCATTAATTCTTTATAAATATTATAATAATTGCCCACACAATATATCAACAAACATACATAAACTACTGAGACTGTTAAAGTATCTATTACTGAAAATATAGTTGTAAACAAAAATCTACTCTTGTTTCATTTTTCTTCTGTATTTGAGTTGGTGAAATCTCCAGTTGTTAAAATATCTGATTAAAGTATTTAAACACCTATTAGGTTTCAATGCATGTTAATAGCTTTTTTCCAAATTTATTATATAAATTAGGCATCTATTAGTGTCTTACTCAGATGCCTTTTCTAATCTAGTATGTTCTATTTTCACTTTCATAATTGAAATTTGCTTTTACTACTTCTCAATTACCAGATATTTAAGAAATACAGAATTTAACTATTCATATTTTGTAAAGGTATTTTAAAAACATATTTTAGGAATTATGAAACTAGAACTCTGAAGGAAAACCTATGTCATAGTTAATTTTATCTAATTTAGATATAAATTGGTTAGCTTTTAACTGAGGTAAAGGCAGTCTCTCACTTTTGGCATTCATCCAGGGCCAGCACGTGTGGATGATCGTCCTCCGACATGGTGATGACTGCTTCTCTGTGGAAGGCTCCTGGCCTGGTCTGGGCCACTGTGTGTCTGGTGATGGACGAGGTAGTGGAGCTGGTCCAGTACAATGTATCCCAGGCTCTGTGATAGGCAAGGCCTTCAACAGAACCCACATCTGATGGGAGATACAAGGAAATATATGTAAACTCTAGCTAAAAGCATGTGATTTGGGACAGAAAAGCATTTTTATATACATATGCATATGCATATGTATGTATATGTATGTGTGCATGTATATATACATATATGTATACATATACACATATACATATATGTACATATACACATACATATATGTATCTGTGGATATAGAGATATAAATAGAGATAATTGTTTCATGAGTTATTTATTCAAACTCTCCAAAATAGAAGATTTGGTAATTGTGATGCTGACAATGAACCTGAACTATGAACTGTATTTTCTTCTTTAGAAACTTTTTTTTGTTTAAGATTTATTTATTTGTGCATATAGAACTGAAGTACAGGCCAGAGGTGCAGGGTCGGTGAGAGCTTCACCAGAGATAGAGTGGGGAGCAGAACAGGGAGATCAACAAAGTACACTGCTGAGGGGAGCAGTGGGTGAGACAGGCGAGGTCTGCATGCCATGTGGATCACCTCCGGGGCTGGGGATTGAACTTACACTGAAGCAGTGGGAGCTGGCTTGCAGTGCTGCATCCTAACCATTTGCGCCACTAGGGAGGGGCTGAATTATATTTTTCATGGGAGTTTTTGAAAAACATCTCATTAAAGACATACACACACACACAAAAATAGCACAATTAAATAATTGCCTTATTATGAAAACAGTGACATTTTCTTTTTTTATCTTAATAGCTAAATTTCAAAAATTATTCATGAACTACAATTTACTTATATTTTCAACAGCATTACGTCAGTGATACCATTAGTGATGATCATAATGAATTTTCTCTGAATGTAATATCTGTAGATGTCAAGAAAAAATAAATGCAATAAAACCACAATAGTATCAAAATGCCATAATACAATTTATGTTCACAACTGTCAAATAATAATAGATAATATTTTAATAAGCTAATGTGATAAGTTTTTTTAATTATACACAATTAATGTTATAGAAGAAAGTACAAAAAGAAATTGCCAGTTGTGTCACTAAGAGTTGTCAGAAAAAGGTAAATGGTACTATGGTACTATATAGATCCTATTACACAAAAAATGAAAAATGTGAAAAAGAAGCACGATTATTTTTTTAAAACTGTGTTTCCAATTAAAAAAACTAGAGTAACATAGAGTAGCTGTTTATTTTCCATACAGGTGGTTTTAGTACATACTTACATATAATCAAATTATACTTTTTCTTCATATTATCCATTTTCTCTATTATGCTTAGCATGCTTAAGGTAGCTATGTCTATAGTCACATTAAGAAATTGACAGCATAAAATAGTCTGTCATTTGTCTTTTAAGGAGTCTCTATAAAAAACCTCAGTTTTTCTAAAAGCAAGTTGAATAAAACAGTTATTTTCAAGATTAAGGCAAATAAAGTGTGAAGTTTGTTTTATTGTGTCTCTTTTTCTAAGAAGGTAACTGAAACGTGATTACAGGACTAATAGCATTCATGCAAAATTCTTAAAGGTTAATTTGCTTCCAAAATTCTTAAAGGTAAATTATGCTCTTTAGAACTGTCATAAAGAAAATTGGTATATTTTCATTGAATACAAAGTTTAAGCCAAATAACTCATTAGTTTCTACTTGTCTAATTGGGTAAATTGTGTAACCAACATTTACCAAGAGTAGCCTCTTCACATAGTCGACAAAAAAAAAAAAAAAGGAAGACATCAGTGAAAGTAATTACCATAGAAAACTTGAACAGAAATATAAAAGTGTAATAAAATAAAATCTATTAAGTTATTCGTATATAAATCATATGCTGCTCTCTTTTCAGGCAAGTGGGTGGAAGGTTGATACTGGTCAAATTTACTTCAACTATTAATGAATATATCATCTATTCTATAGTATTTTTTGGACTTTTAAAAGATTTCAGAAGGGAAAGCCACTAGTAGGCAATGTAACATGGCCATCTTTCATCAGTTACTAATGGAAAGAGAAATGACCTAGCTCTGAAACAAATCCATACAAATCAGAACCATTAATCCATCTTCATTTTCTATCTTTATTTCAAGAAACATTGATAAACTTTTGATCAGTTTTTTCCTGTTAGATTAAGAAGAAACTACTTGGTGTCACACTTGAGAGGAAGTAGTAGCTTCCTTTCTATGGTTGATATAGTTTCAGGATTATTAGAGTGTAAAGTGCATACCACTGTTCAAGACGATCTATATTATTTTATTTTTATAATAGGTGATAATGTGACAGTACACTTAATCATTGGTACAAAGTTTTTAAATATTTCAATAATACATTTCCTCCTCAAAAGATTTTTAGTTTACTATAAAAATAGTATTCATTAATAGTTGAAGGCAAATAGCAAAATTAAGAACCATAAACATTTTTATGTCCATTTAATGAGGATTTAAAACAGTGCGGTCATGTGACAGGCATTGGAGTGTGTGTGTGTGTGTGTGTGTATGGGTGTGTGTGTGTGAGTGTATCAATGCTGAGTTTCTGAATAAGCTGAGTAGGTAGAATGAGAACTTTGACTCGACGTACTGGACCCACCATATAATTACATAGCTTCAAAATTCAAGTAAACTATTTATCAGTTACTCAACCTGAAAAGTTGAACAGAGTCAATTAATACAGTGCTAAACACCATTGGAAGTTGTGGAGATAGACTAGGCATAGCTAAAAATATAACAGTGCTATTTCAGCAGTTCTATTCTTTGCATCCAAGCAGGAAAAATAAGTATTGGAAATGACATGCATGTGCAGTAAAAATCATACATTGTCATCTTCAGAACTTACAAAATAAATAAAAATTCCCCTTTCCTCTCTCCCACTTTTGAGCCAGATGACTGGATTTGGCTTATCGTGGGAGATATGAGGTATTTATAGAGAAGATAGGGCCCTCCCTGGTGTCGCAACAGGTCCAAGCACAACACTATGAAGCTAGCTGCATCCACTTCAGTATGAGTTCGATACCCAGGCAGGGAGGTGACCCACATGGCACAAAAGACCTCTTCTGTCTTACTCACTGTTCGCCTCAGCAGTGTACTTTGTCAGTCTGCCTGTTCTGCTCCCCATTCTGTCTCTGGTGAATCCTTTCACCATCACTGCACCTCTGGCCTGTACCCTAGTTCTGTATGCATAAATAAATAAATCTATTAAAAAAATGTTAGAGGCTCCAGGTCACAACATTAAAAACTATAGCAGAGGCAAATAACTCAGAACCATGACCAAGATTGCCTAGATTTTAGTTTCACAGTAATGGGTTAAGTGACCCAACAAGAGTGGCAGAGTGACACCAACCAATGGTCTTACAGAAACTCAGAGGACCTGGCAGAATATAAGTTCATCTCATCCCCATTGAGAAAGCCACACCAGCTTCATCAATTCTATAAAGTGTCCTCTATAGAATAAGGGCTTTGAGAGAAAAAGTCAAAAAGGGTATTATTGGGAGGGAGTTATATGGGTAAAAACATGGCATATTTTTTACAAATAAATGTTACTGTAAAGTGAGTAATATTTATCTCAAGGGCTTGCTACAACTATTAACTGTGACAATGGCTTAAATTGTTGAAAATGTGTTATTCTCTTATTCACTAATTCTCTATAAAGTGCTATAGTGTCAGAAAATTTGCTGTATGAAATTATATCTGTAGCATGAAGCATCCCACTCCTTTCTGCCAAGGTATGAAACTAAAATAAGTTTCTGTATATAACATTCTACCTTTAAAGTTTATAGTCTTCACAAAAACAGAAACCTGAGTCTAGACTAAAAATTTTGCCTAAACTCTACCCTATCCTAAAAATTTTCTAATAGTGCCCTCTCTGGTGACACAGCGGGTTAAAGCAAGCACACCACTAAGAAGCTAAAGCCATCTCTGCATGAGTTCAATCCCCGCACTGGAGGTGACCACATGGCGTGGCAGACCTCTCCTGATGCGCCCGCTGCTCCCCTCAGCAATGTACTTCCTCAGTCAGCCTGTTTTGCTCCCCACTCTGTCTCTGGTGAATCCTCTCACCATTCCTGCCCCTCTGGCTGTATACCAGTACTGTATGCATAAATAAATAAATTAAAAATTTTTTTTCTAATAACTTCTTAAAAGTTTAAATATATACTTGTCATATAATCTAGCACTTTAGTTCTAAAGATATATTCATATCTTTTACAGGAATGATCATTGCAACTTTACTTAATAATAGTCATCAACGGATGTGGTGATAAAATATTTTCTAATTGATTACATGATGTGAGTATACTAAAATCACTGAATTGTGTACTTTAAATGGGTGAAGTGCATGCATACAAATCATGTTTCAAATCAGATATGGAACTATTTTGAAAGAAATGTATAAAACAATAGATGAGGACCCTCCCTGGTGGCGCAGCGGGTTAAAGCACAGCACAAAGAAGCTTAAGCCACTTCCACATGAGTTCGATCCCCGCCTGCCCTGGAGGTGACCACATGGCATGGCAGACCTCTCCTGACCTGACCGCTGCTCCCCTCAGCAGTGTACTTCGTCAATCTGCCTGTTCTGCTCCCCACTTTGTCTCTGGTGAAGCCTCTCACCCTCCGCATCTTTGGCCTGTACCCCAGTTCTGTACAAGTGAATAAATAATCTTTAAAAAAATTAAAAAAGAAAAAAACAATAGATGAATAAGCATACATGAATTGGTCAGATTTAAGTTTTAATTTGATAAATACTATGTAGAACTGAGACTCAAAAGAGCATTTCTTTCTTTCTCCTTTTCTTTCCCTTCTTTTATCCTCCCTCTTTCTCTCCTCAATCTTTACACAGTTCAATGGATTTTAAGGTAACTGATCTGTTTTAATTGTCAGTTAGTATAGATATTGAGTAGTAGAGTAGACAATAAAAATACCTGTTAATTTCTATTGAGTTTATGTTACTAGAATGCTTTCCAAATAATTATTAACTGGATGAATGATTTTCCCTTTTCTAACTAACTTGTGTATGCATTGTAATAGATTTCAATGTAGATTGCTTACTATAAA